CCTTTTTATTTCTAATAAAGATTAGAAGAAGGTTTGGCGAGAAAAAAGTTAAAATTATCTTAAGATTACCTAATTAGAGGCGTAATTAGCTTAAAGAAAGGTTAAACTTCTAGAAGCTGAAAAGTAAGAGCATTTATTTACTTATTATAATTAAGTAGTACTGAAAGAGTTAGAGCGCGCAAAAGAGCAGGTTGCGGGGAACTTAGCCTCTAGTACTAATCCTCCTACTATTAAACTATCGCTATCTAGACTATTAGCTAATCTAGGTGAGTTATAGGCTAATTACTATAATTCTTCTTTTAATTATTTCTTCCTCTTTAAAGGGCTTCCTCTCGCTTCTCTAGGTACTTTTAGTAGTATTCTCGTACTAGTAACTTATAGTTCGTTAGATTTCTTTTAGGTTCCTAAGTATTATAGCTTTTTAGCTATTCTTACTACTTAACTAAGTACTTCTACTAACTACTAATTTTCCGTAAGTCCTTAATTTCCTTAACCTTATACTCGTCGTCTTTAAGCTTTATATTTATTACTAGCTTAGTATCTAGAGATACTAGTTCTAGAAGTTTTTTATAAAAGATAGAGTAGATTCGTATACCTTATAGAAGTTTTAACTTATAGTTTACTTTTCATATTTCCTCTAACGTAGTTTATAAGCGAGTGAGCTATATAAGCGAGTAAGCTACCCCACTAACTTTACGCACCTCTCTTATTATAATATATAATAACTCTACTAAATCTATTCTAACACGTCTCTCGTAAGGCTAATATATACTTTATACTATTAGCTCTTAAAAAAAGTTATGTTTAAACTAAAAGGCGTGCTACAGCTACGTTTAATATTTCTTGCGCTACTCTCTACTACTAACGCGCTAGTAAGCCTACCCGACGCGATTACTAGCCTAACTTAAAGAAGCTTACTAAGCTAGAAGAGGAGGTAATTATTAGCTATATACTTAATCTTAATCTACGTAGATTCTCGCCTACCTACGTAGCTGTACGTAATATAGCTAATAGACTCTTAGCTACTCGCAGCGCTAGCTAAGTTAGCGTTTACTAGCCGCGTAACTTTATTAAGCGTATAAATAGTCTTATAACGCGTTTTAGTTAAGCGTATAATAAGTAGAGAGCTCTATATAAAGATCTAGTTCTAATTAAGAGCTAGTTTAAGCTTATAGAGTAGATAAAGGCTAAGTATAGTATCTATAATAAGAACCTCTATAACTTTAATAAAGCTAGCTTTATAATAGGTAAGATTATAACTTAACTTAGTATTATAGCGTTAGAGAGAAGAGGCTAGCTAAAGGTAGTTAAGCTAGATAATTATAAGTAAGTAACGCTAATCGCAGTAATTAACGCAGATAGCTAATTAGTCCTACTGTTCCTTATATTTACTAGTAAGTACTACCTATCTACTTAGTATAAGGAGGCAGAGAGCCTACGCAACTAGGCGATCGTAGTTAGTAATAATAGCTAGATAAATAATAAGCTAGACGTTATATAGATAAAGCACTTTAATACCTATATAAAGACTCGCGTTATTAGTATACGTCGCCTACGTATTCTTAATAGCTATAAGAGCTACTAGTCTCTAGAGTGTTAAGAGTTCTATAAAGAGAATAATATATATACGCTCTATATACTACCTTACTTATCTTATCTACTCTAGTCTCTTAACGTTAGCTACTTCTTGCTGTTAAAGCGCGCGTATAGCTGTAAGATAGAGAGCCTAATCCGCTTTTATATTAACTACATCACTAAGCTTAAGTTTCTACTAGCGTTTAAGGTAGCGTTTAATCAATTCTTTATGCTATCTAATATCTGCTCTGCCTTCTTCAGCGTAGACCTTATTTCTCTCTAGCTAGATATTATTCTATTAAGACTTAATATAAAGCTCCGTACGCCTACTCTACTAGCTACTCTAGAGACTCTCTAGTAGGCTTATACGCCTAGTAATACACGCGAGCTTAAAGCTTAATTAATATTAATACGTAATCGCGTTTAGTAGTATTAAGGCTTATCGCTAGCTTTAATTATTATAGTAATTAATTAGCTTAAGAAGAGGGCTAAGATAATAATACTCTTAGCTAAGCTAATACGCGATTAGATAGCTAGCCTTAAGAAGGTGAACGAAGCTATAATAAAGTATAGGCAGCGTAAGAAGAAGCGGATATAGAAGTAAAAAGTGCTAATAAAGAGAGCTAGAGAGGATCTACTTACTTAGCGTAAGGCTGATTAGCAGATTACTTATAAAAAACATTAAGAAGAAGAGTAATTAGGTGTTAGCTACTAGGCTCTTATACGCTGTAGTAGGTATAAAGAGACTAGCTATAATACGCGTATATATAAGAAAGATACTCTAGGTACTACGTAATTAATTATATTAATATATAGTAAAGTAATTATATTATAGTAGAGCTATACGCCTATAGAGGTACGTAAAGTTAGTAAGATAGCTTACTCGCTTATATAGCTCACTCGCTTGTAAACTACGTTAAGATTTTAAATAGTTCTATTTAAAGGTTGTCTAATTTTCTATATAGTCGATTAGTTTTTAGGTTTTATCTTAATAGAAAAACTTTATCCCTCTTCTTAAAGATTAGTTTCTTAATTCTTTATTTATTCGCTACTTTAAATGTTATACGATTTTATTAAGCTATATTTTTACTTAATTCTTTATATAATTCCCGCATAAGCTTCGCTTTATCGTCTACTTCTACTATAATACTTTTAATATTCTTTAGATCTTAATAAGTAGTTTGCTTATATCTATAGTTCGCGTAGTACGGCGAATGCTTTATTATTATAGATTTGATACTATTATAGGCTAATTACGCTATTAGTAATAATTCTACCTAATTATCCTATAATTTATTAGCGTACATCTATAGATACTATTTTAATATCTAGTTTATATATTCTATTTAGCTATTAATTTCTAGATAGAAGCTTATTAAAAGCTTCTTCTTAATACCTAACTTTACTAGAAATGTATTCTAGTATTTAGACGTAAATAGTTTATTATGATTAGTAATAAACTCTTTAGGTATCCTATACTCTAATACTAGTACTTTAGTAACTTCGTACGCGCATTTATCTACTATAATAGTCTCTTCTATAGGTATAAACTTTACTACTTTAGTTAATTGGTCTATGATTACTAAGATAGTATTATAAAATTAAGCTAATCCTAGTTCTAATAATTTTAGAAGCTTTACTATAAAGTCTATTATTATACTTAACTATAGTCTAGATAGTAGCTGTAAGGGTTATAATAGACTATAGAGCTTATGTCTCTTAGGCTTATTCTAGTAATATACTAAATAGTTACTTAGTATTTCTTATACCTTCGCTTATAAACGTAGTATCGTAAATACTTTAGCTAGTTATCTAACTATTTCTTTAATTTCTGCGTATCTATATTCTTATAACTTATATAGTTCTTATATAAGACTTAATCTTATATATAGAGGTATATATAGTTACGTCTTAAAAGTCTATTTCTCTAAGCATAGGCCTACCCCACTATCTTAATTTCCTTAGACTAGTCTCTTCTTCAACGCTATATAACTCTATCTAAATAAGATCTTTTTACGCAGAAATTTCGTATAATCGAATGCTAGGTAGTAAATTATTAGATACCTAAAGAATATATATTTTAGCCTAAGCGGAGGGTAGATATAGTACGTTAGAAATCGTGACGCGTCTAAGCTACACGCGCCGCGCAGTAAATAAAATAATCTATTAATAGAATACTAAAGGAACCTATACTAAGCACGATTAGATAGGCTGCCTATCTAAATTAACTAGTAGAGATTACTAATAGCTGCTTTAAGCTGTAAAAAAAGATCCTAAGATTAAGTACCGCGCGCTATATCGCGAGGCTAACCTATAGAACTCTAACTCTAGCACCTTTACTGTCTCTCGCGCTATAATTTAACGAGTACTTACTTAAATAGATTACTATAAGTTTAGAGCGAAGCGCAGGCTACTTATTACCTAGAATATTACTAAAAAACGCTTACTTTTTACGCGGAGGTAGCGTTTTTTTACTTAGAGTAGTGATACTATTTTAAAGTTTTTAGATAAGTGTAGTATCGCCCGCAGTTCTAGCTATAATACTACTTAAGTATAGAGATTACTAGCGCAGAAATAGTCTCACGAGATAATAGAAAGTGTCTCTACTAGCTAGTAGCCCGCTCGTATAGTGTGGGCTGTAATTTAGATAGGTTAAGATAGTGTTGTAGGTAGAAGTTCTCTAGTAATTATATAACGAGATTATATACGGTAATAATATAGATATACTATATAGAGCTACTTGTAGGCACTTAAGGAAGAGCTAATACCTAACTAGAGACGCGAGGAGATATTTATGCAGGATAATACACCTATCTATACTACTTATATTTCTAAAACTTAGTTTAGAAATTATAACATTAAGACTATTAACTAGCCCCCCTTTTCTCTAGATCTTAACCCTATCGAACACCTCTAGTAGATACTTAAAAAGAAACTCTATAAGCTGTACTCTAAGTTTAACTATATAGGCGATATAGAAAGAGAGTAAGATTAGTTTGAAAATAGGTTGCGAGAGGCCTAGTCTGCCATACCTAATTCTTTAATTACTAAACTAATCTTAAGTATAACGCGACGCCTCGACGCCGTGCGCACTATATATAATTATTAAACAAAATAGTAAGATTAATAGCTTTAATTTAATTATTTTAACATTAATTTTAGACGTGGTTTGGTAGAGCTGCACGGGGTTAAAGTTATAGGAAAAAGTAGTAATCGTAGCTTATACGCTTAGAGGAACAGACTTTTAAGCTAGTAGTATATATTTAATTCTTCGAAACTATATCTCTATACTCTTTTTTATTATTTAATAGTTTGTTGGAGCCTACTTCGTTAGGCTTAAACTACTAGCTAGCTACTTATTACTGCTATTACTATTATAGCGTTTCTACCTACTTAGCTATCTTAGCTATCTTAGCTAGTTCTGGCTAGTTATACTTCAGACTACTATTAGACATTATCTTAAGTAAAGCGTTATATAGTGCTTTATAATCTTCTTTACGTAAATTAGACCTTCTACTTAAAGTGTCTACTACTCTATTAAGCGTTTCTACGCGATACGTGATCTTAAAGTTAAACTAAGCTAGTATCTCTATCTATTATACTTATTATTAGTTAAGTTTTTTTATTATTATAAAACTTATTAAGTTCTAGTAATTAGTAAAAACCTTAATCTATTTAGAGAGTTCTAGTAGGTTTACTTTCTATTATTTAAAGGTATTAACTACTCTAAATAGTTTCTTATTGTAAATATTATAGTTAAGTTCTACTCTAGAGAACTTTTATAAATAGTAGAATACTAGTCTCTATTTTCTATCTAGGTACTACTATAATAATACAGCTCTAAGTGTATAGTTTGACGCGTTAGTCTTAACTCTAGTAAGTTATTAAGAGCTATATATCTTAAGTACTAGCGCCTCTAGAAATATTTACCTAATTTAATTAAAAGCCTCTTAGTATTCTTATTTCTATTTAAAACCTATTTCCTTCTTTATTACTTCTATAAGGGGTGCTATGATCTTTAAGTAATCTCTAATAAACTTTTAATAGTAATTCATAAATTCTAGGAAGAATGAAATATTCTTAATTATTTTAGATATTAGGTATTCCTATACAGTCTATATCTTCTTTAGATTTATTTTTACTTCTTTAGTTAATATAATAAATCTAAGAAATTCCGTTTCTTATATATAAAATTTATACTTTCTTAGTTAAAGGTATAGCTTATATTCTTTAAGCTTCTATAAGACCTTCTTAATATACTTAATATATTCTTCGCGTGTACTACTAGAGTATACTAGTATATTATCTAGATACGCGGTAATAAAGATTCTAAGGTATTTATAGAGTGCGTTATTAATAACTAATTAAAAGGTTACTAGTGTATTTATTAATTCAAATAGTATAATAATATACTTAAAATATCTATACTTTATTCTAAATACTATTATCTACTTATAACCTTCTTTAATTCTAATTAAGTAAAATTCTTTCTAAACGTTAAACTTCGTAAACTACTTAGCTTCTTAGAGTTAATCTATAAGCTCTATACTAAGTAGTAAGAGATATTATATAGTTCTTCTAAGTTACGCTATTTAACCTTCTAAGGTTAATATATAGTTACTACTTCCCGTTAGGTTTTTTTATAAATAAGAAAGGTAAGGCTATTAGGCCTAATCCTAGTTTGATAAATCTCTTTTTTAAGTTCTTTTAGATATAATCCTATAGCTTAGTATTATACTTAGGCGCTATAGAGTATATTTCTTTTAAGCTTAACTTCGCTCTCTTCTCTAGAATAATCTTGTAATCCTAATTCTAATATTCTACTAAGTCTAACGTAGTTTATAAGTAAGTGAGCTATATAAGCGAGTGAGCTATCTTACTAACTTTACGCACCTCTCTTATTATAATATATAATAACTCTACTAAATCTATCCTAATACGTCCCTCGTGAGGCTAATATATACCTTATACTATTAGCTCTTAAAAAAAGTTAAGTTTAAACTAAAAAGCGTACTATAGCTACGTTTAATGTTTCTTACGCTACTTTCTACTACTAACGCGCTAGTAAGTCTACCTAACGCGATTACTAGCCTAACTTAAAGAAGCTTACTAAGCTAGAAGAGAAGGTAATTATTAGCTATATACTTAATCTTAATCTACGTAGATTCTCGCCTACCTACGCAGCTATACGTAATATAGCTAATAGACTTCTAGCTACGTGTGGCGCTAGCTAGTTTAGCGTCTACTAGCTATGTAACTTTATTAAGCGTTTAGATAGTCTTATAATATATTTTAGTTAAGTGTATATTAGGTAGAGAGCTCTATATAAAATTTTAGTTCTAATTAAGAGCTAGTTTAAGCTTATAGAGCAGATAAAGGCTAAGTATAGTATCTGTAATAAGAACGTCTATAACTTTAATAAAGCTAGCTTTATAATAGGTAAGATTATAACTTAACTTATTATTATAGCGTTAGAAAGGAGAGGCTGGCTAAAAGTAGTTAAGCTAAGTAATTGTAAGTAAGTAACGCTAATTGCAGCGATTAACGCAGCTAGCTAGTTAGTTCTACTATTCTTTATATTCGCTAGTAAGTACTACCTATCTACTTAGTATAAGGAGGCAGAGATCCTACGCAACTAGACGATCGTAGTTAGCAATAATAGCTAGATAAATAATAAGCTAGGCGTTGTATAGATAAAGCACTTTAATACCTATATAAAGACTCACGTTATTAGTACACGTCGCCTACTTATTCTTAACAGCTATAAGAGCTACTAGTCTCTAAAGTTTTAAGAGTTCTATAAGAAGAACAACATATATACGCTCTATATACCACCTCACTCATCTTATCTACTCTAGCCTCTTAACGTTAGCTACTTCTCGCCGTTAAAGCGCGCGTACAGCCGCGAGGTAGAGAGTCTAATCCACTATTACATTAACTATATCACTAAGCTTAAGTTTCTACTAGCATTTAAGATAGCGTTTAATCAATCCTTTACACTATCTAATATCTACTCTACCTTCCGCGGCGTAGGTCTTATTTCTTTCTAGCTAGATACTATTCTATTAAGACTTAATATAAAGCTCCGTACGCCTACTTTACTAGCTACTCTAGAGGCTCTCTAGTAGGCTCGCACGCCTAGTAACATACGTAAGCTTAAAGCTTAATTAATATTAATACGTAATCGCGTTTAGCAGTATTAAGGCTTATCACTAGCTTTAATTATTATAGTAATTAATTAGCTTAAGAAGGGGGCTAAGGTAATAATGCTCTTAGCTAAGTTAATACGCGATTAGATAGCCAGCCTTAAGAAGGCGAATAAAGCCGCAATAAAGCGTAGGCAGCGTAAGAAGAAGCGAATATAGAAGTAAGGAGTGCTAATAAAGAGAGCTAGAGAGAATCTACTCGCTTAGCGCGAGGCTAATCAGCAGATTACTTATAAAGAGCGTTAAGAAGAAGAGTAATTAGGTATTAGCTGCTAGACTCTTACGCGTTATAGTAGGTATAAAGAGACTAGCTATAATACGCGTATATATAAGAAAGATACTCTAGGTACTACTTAATTAATTATATTAATATATAGTAAAATAATTATATTATAGTAGAGCTATACGCCTACAGAGGTGCGCAAAGTTAGTAAGGTAACTCACTCGCTTATATGGCTCACTCGCTTGTAAACTACGTTATTACTTTATTTTCCTTAAATAGTTTCTTAAATTCTTCTATTTAGTATTCTATTAGAATTACTTACTATAGTACTAATTTTTCTTTTATAGTTACGATCTACTATATCTAAATAACTTCTATACTCTAAGAGTCTTTTATATAGATTCTCGCGATCTTATACGATAAGATTATACTAAATCTTCTATTCTAGGTTGCGCGCTAATTTATTAGGCGTGTCTTATATCATACTCTAGCAACCTTATATATAAGCTCTTAGCTAAGTAATATCTTCTTTTACTAATTAATAGTAGTGTTATGCTTTGATAACTAATCGTAGCTAATTATTATCTTAGTTTCTCTAAGATCTATAATATTAATCTTCTCTTAGCTTTCTTAACTAGCTAGGCGTAATATTACTACCTTAGTCTTAAGTTAGATCTAGCCGTTCCTATATGTTATAGAACTATTATTAGCTAATACTACTCGCATTAGTACTTTCTTATTCTAATAGAGTATATTATTTCCTTCTACTACTTATAGAGATATAATAGTTCGTGCTACCCTACTATTTATAAGCGCTAATACCTTATGTCTATCTATAAGTACTATAGCTTTTAATTATAATTCTTTTACTCCTATTTCCTATACTTACTTAAGAGTTATTTTAGAACTGCTTTTACTAGCGTGACCTTATCTCTAGTAGCATCCTAGTTTTTTAACTACCTATTTCCCTTCTTCTTTAGAAAGTAGCCTTCGCTTACCTTAGTAGAATAGTATATTATATACTAGTTATTATAGTAGAAGCTCTAATAGATATTCTTATAGGGTATCTTCTATTACGTAGTTCTCTCTCTTAGTTCTAGCTTCCTACTTTTATAAATTAGGTAATTCTTTATTTTATAAATATTCGCTAGTAGAGTACTATAGTAGTAGTTACCTATCTATTAAGTATTCTTAAACTATTATTAATATATAGCGCATCCTTTCCTATAATACGTCTATAGAAGTTTACTATACTCTACTAGCGTTTTCTATACTTAGGCTCTATATATTCTATAGTTCTTTACTATATATTCTTCTACGGAAATCGTACTATAGTAGTAGTTATTTACTCTTTTAGCTTTCTATTATTATTCTTTATAGAATTAGTAATCAATTATGTACTTAATCTAGTATAGCTCTTTATAAGCTTCCTTTTCTCTAGGCTAGTATATATAGTAATATTATATACAATACTTATTATACTATAGATTAGTATAGTAGTAATTATTCTTATTATCTCTAGTCTCTTCTTACTTTCTTATGTAATAATTATACTATCTTAGATAGTTAACGTTATATAGGCGCTTATATTACTATATTTATTCTTTAAACGTCTAAGGTATCTTCTTGTTATTAGGTTCTTTAAACCTAGATTATTCTTAGGTAGCTCTATAGGTAATCTTATCTACTTAGAGTTCTAAGAATATAACTTATCTATTAATATTATAATTATTAGCTTAGTATACGTTAGTTCTATAAATCTAGTACTATTAGCTTCTTAGGCGGCGTAGTACTTCTACCCCTTTAACCTACTAATCTATTAGTAGTAGTACGTCCTACTTAAAGTCTTAAAGTCTTATTACCTCTTATACTAGCTTAAACGTCTTATTAGTAGCTTATCTTCCTTCTTTATATAGGTCTAGGTCGCTAAGAGTTTCATCTAGCTCCTTAGTTAGATATAGTATTAGTATCTAAATTATCTTAATCTTAACCACTCCTTATCTAACTTTATTTTTTAAGTAATCTCTACGGAAGTATCCTACTTTACTATATTAGAGATATACCTTACTATTATAACGCTTCTTACGTTCTTCTATAGAGAGTCTATTAATATACTATTCTTAAGTTTTTCTATTTCTATCCTTAG